CAGGTGGTTTAGGGTAACGCTTCTACGCAAAATTATGCAAATATTTGGAGTCCAAAACGGATCAGCGAGGCAAACGGAAAAAAAGGTGACAGCATTATCGATATACGGCATCGTTAGAAGTTACCTTTTGTCCAAAGTTTGTGTGTCACATGCAAACGAGGCCTGGCAAAAATAGAATTCGAAAATTGATATTCGATAGCCGAAAAAATAAACTGCGAACCCGCATGGAATGCTGTTGACAGACCAAGGGATAGCTATAAATTTGCGTGTTCCAAAACTATTAAGCAAATCACTTTTGTTTTAGCCACAAGAGTCTCGAGTTACCATCACCCCCTCAAGAGTCATTAGCCCACTTGACCGCAACAATGAGAAATCACCTCAATTTCAGCCACAATGGCGATGAAGTAATTTTATTATATGTATCTTAGCACTTGAAATTATCAAAAAAGAAAAAAAATGGGTACATTTGCCCTAGAGCATAATGATTTGAAGAAAAAATTCGCCAAAGTTCAACCTTCCGAGGGGCTGCCACAAATTATAATTGAGCAGACGGAGACATCGGACCATAAAAAAATAAAAGTCATAATAGACATGGCTCAGACAATTGTGTACCTCTGAGCGGAAGCACTTGGCAAGGTTGAGAGCTGATTTCATTCATCACCATCAAAAAAAAAAAAAAAAACAAAAACTACACATTCATACTTCACAAAAAACACTCGACTCTACATGAATTACTTGCAAATTGCTGGCACACAAAAACCCAGACGCTTGATGCATGCATAACGAGCCTTTGACTTACTTTTTAGTCAAAACAAAACGAACGATGAATACGAGTACTTCAATATTTGCAAGTCGATGGGGATTTGTTGCCAGCTTGGCACCACGCAGATGTTGGCACACCAATTTAGCCAAGTTTTCCCACAAAATATCAAAATTCAACAAGTGCAGGCCATCAGGCTAAGTCGAAAATGCATTTTGAATCTTGTAAAAACACACAAAAGAAAGAATCTGACAGAGGGACAGAATGTTTTTGGTAATTGGATACTTTTAAGTTAACCGCTTGGACTGATGAATGCTCTTTATTTATAAATAAAAAAAATAAATTTTTTATTTGACATTATTATTATTTAATATTCCATTAAATTAAGGGTGCATACAAATATTTTTTTTTTCAATCTAAATAGGTTTTAAAAAGGATACTTAAATTACCTAAAATCCGCTTTAGGAATAAATTCAGCTGAAATAACAATAATTAAATTGTAAACAAGTGGAACTACTGGTTCTATAGAAGTTTTGGGTTTTTGTTTTTCTATTAAATATAAAATGTTAATGTAATAAATTAACAATTCTAATCTCCAAATCCTCACAATACCCTACCGATTGAGAGGAATATCACAGTACAGAAACTGCAACAGTTTATGACGCCAACTGCATAAATCAAAAGGCTTTGGGTTCGGATTACCACACGAAAACTGCAGACCTCAGACGTTTTTATCTGGGCTCTCTTCTTCCCTTGATTTTTTCCAGCTTTATGACGACCAAACCGGCTGGCATAATAACAGAGAAGAGAACTTGGTCCCTGCACGACGGCGCAAATAACTTTGCAGCGTGACTGGGATAAAATGCCAAGCCACACACAGATGAAAAAAAAACGAACAAAATACCCAATATTGGCGAGGCATCTTCCAGCCAGTCGGCAAAATTCAAACAAATCGCTCAAACAATGCCACAAAAATGAGAAACAAAAAAAAAATACGAAGAAAATGAGAAAACAATTTTTTTTTTTCGCTTGTGACACGACTCGAGTAACTTTGTAGTATGGCAATGGTGGGGGGCATTAGAAAACCCCTCAATACTTTTTGGGCTGAGCTAAGCTCGGCTCAGATTTCATTTAATTGATTACGGCGAATGTGTGTGCATTGGAAACGCTCGTTTGGGCGATTGGGTGATTGGGTGGGCCATGGGAACGAGGCGTTTTTAAACGCCTCATAAAACGCCACAGAAACGCATCCAATTTCCACGAACAGCGGTTGCTAAAAGTATTCTAACGGTCGGTTTTTTTATAAAATCTTTTGAAACATCTGCATTTACTCTGAACTTAAAAGAAATTTTGGACTTATTTTTTAAAAGATTTCAAAAGCAACTGAATCTAAACTCTCTTTAGATTCTTCTAAGTTTAAACTTAAAAGCATTTCTCTCAAAAAATTTTTTTCGTTTTATTATTTCAATGAGTGTTATTAATAAGGATTAGGACTCCATATTTATTCATAATTTCTTTAAATAGTTTTTTCAGACTTTATGGCTATGAACTTTTCGCACTCAATGTACGTGCATTTAGCTAAACGTTTTAGCCATATTTTGTTGCGGTGCGCAAATCTGTTGTTTGGCTTTTTGTGCTACTGTTTTGCCGCAACTTGGTGTTCATAACTTGGCTAATGAGTGCCACTAAAACAAAGCAAAAACTCGGCAACAACGGAGTGCATTAAAAACTTGTTATTGCCCTCGTCTATGAAGCAGCCACTGCGCTCAAATTTGTAAGCATTAAGTCTGAGGCTGTTTTTTGTCCGTCTATTTAAGTTTATTATTATGGCCTTTTTGCACTGTCGGACATTTATTGGCTGTCTTGTTCGGTGCTGTGTTGCTTTTTTGCTACCCAGCTTTATTTGTTTGTTTATGTGATTAGCCAAGTTCATGTGGTCTGAGGGTCACCGTTGCACGTGAAAAGGGGGGCGTGGCCAATGGCCGATGGCCTATGAATATGAACGTTAACCAGTCGAAGTGGCATTTCCCAATCACTTTAAGCCTATTACGAGCCGAAACCAATCGATCTTGGGCAATGCGCTGTATAACTGCAGTGCCCAGTTTACAAAAGATATTCAGCCACTTATGCCAGGCATCTCACTTGAACACTTGCCGTATTTCAGCGACAAATTGCCAAATACCCACAGCCAATTCCATTGATCTTTTGGCATCAAAGAAGCTTTGCCGCCGCCGCACATTGGCCAGAAAAATGGACACTCCCGCTGCTGGGCAATAAAAGTTTTCCCATTGTTCGAATATCGATGGCTAAATGGGTTTTTTTATTAAGCCAACTTGATGGAGGCAAAAAAGGGTTTTACCATAGCCAATAATCCATCAAAACATGAATAGTCTATTGAGCTTTTAATGGGATTATTCATTGTTAACGAGTTATAGGGGAGTTAAGTTTTTTAATGAATTTGACATTTTTATAAAGTACTTATCGATTGCCTTATAAGTTATACAAAACTTATGTAACGATCTATATGATACTCTCATTTAAAACTGTCAATAAAAGTTTCAAACATGTTCTGGTTTTTAATTTGTATAAAAATATGGTATAAAATTTTAGGTGATCATATATTTGGCCTATGAAAGTATCTTAAGATCTTCAATTATCTTTTATTATTGTTTTATTTGTGTTCTTTGTAAAGAATCATCGTATCCATTAGTGACACTCCTAAACATAAATTTTGTAAGTTTTTTGCTTGTATATTATTCGGACTTTAATTGTAATTGTTCTATAAATTTATAGTCTTTAAATTATTTAACCCATGGTCATGAATATCTTTACCAAGATCAGAAGCATTCTTTCAATACCCCGGCATTGAGCTCATTGAAAGAAAAAAAACAATCGAGGCGAGATTTCACTAAATAGATATCTGAAATTGGCCGGGGGCCATCATGGGCAACTTTAACCCATGGTGACCCAACTTTTTGCCGCATTGGCACGCGAGTTAACTAGCCAACTTCTGCATTCATCCGCAGCGAAGTTTGCGTGCTGTTTGTCTTGGGCCGATTATTGGTTTTTCCTGCTACTTAAAACCAACATGCAATGGCTGAAAGGCATCTCTCGGCTTATTAAAACGCAATCAGCGCAGTCACAGGAAACAGCCGGCACAAAAAAACACACAAACAAGAAGCATACAACAAAAAAACACACACAAAAAGAAACACACTTCTTGTTTGGCCAAGTCAACGCGGCTTTTGACCATAAATCGCAGTGGGGCCAAACCGCCTTCAAAACTATTCGCGGCATTTGTGTCAAACACGCGACCCAGTCTTCCACTGCAACTGCAACTGCAACTGCTTCTTTTTCTGCAGTCTACAGGCTACAGTCTACAGTCTACACAGGCTGCAATCTTCGGAAATCTTCGCGGTCCGCAGGCTTCTTCCCAGTGGAGACCCGGTAAACAATTGGCGACAGCCACTGCCACTTTTGGCCAGTTTTCCTCGCTCTGGCCAAATCTGCTAAATGCACTAAATTGGCAACTGGCTTAGAAAGTCGATGGGGTGGCTGCTGCTGTTTCTGCTACTGCAGCGAGTCGAAAGAAAGTCAAATGACAGCCAATACACGCAGAAAACTCAGACAATGAACTTTCGAGTATGTGGGTGAAATGTAAAGGGATGAAGGAATCATTCAGAAAATAAATAAGAAACATTTAGTTTCAAATAGTTTGCCTTTAGATTGGAATTATTAAATTTATATATAGCCACTGGAAGCGTGATAAATCAATCAATAAGTTTCCAAAATAATTAGTTTCCTTTAGTTTTAAGGATGAAACTTTTCGTTAATTGATGTTTTTGAACGTCCTAATTTAAACTTCATATTTATTGTAATGTCTTATTTTTATTTTAGAAATATATTTAACAATTGATTAATGTCTGAGCCAACAAAAATGAATATTTAATTTTTTATAGTATCTTAAAGGAATTAAAATGTGTATTGCAGAGTTATAATTTTCTAAGCATTGAACTTAGCATGAGTTAAGAATAATTCTTACAAAAACAGCTTAATTTTTGAAAATGCTTATATTTTAGTATATGTACCTAAAGTAAAAATAATTCTATTACCCCAAATGTGTTTTAACAAAAATTTGTTTACAACAAAATTCTAGAGAAACAGATAATATACGAAAGCGTTTCAAAAGTAATTATGGCAAGATGAGAAGCAGTTTTCCTCAAGTTTTTTGTGTACTTACATTATGGTTTATTTACTGCTGATGCTGGAATGTTGTTGAAGCGGTAATTGCTGACTGTTGCAGCTGCAATTGTTCTCCCCTCGCCGCTGCACTTTAATTAGCAGCTGCAGGGCGCATCCGCAGTTGCAGTTGCATATTGCTGGTTTTGCTGGTACAGCATCATTAGCTGACTGATTGGGAAAACTTAGACCGCTCGACTACTTCGTCACCTTCTGGCGAAAATCGAGACCTTTTTCCCCTGGATTTTTTGTGCTGTTTTGATTACCGCAGATTGCACTTTTCAACGTGTTGTTGTCGTTAACTTGTCGTGGCTGTCGTTGTTTTGTTATTTTTGTTATTTTTGTTTACGCGAACGTTGCCAGTTGCATGTTAATTAAGCGCGCCTTGACTGCATTTTCCTTAGCCAATTGTTGTTGTTGTTTTCGCTGCAAGGGTTAACGTTAACCGATTATTGTTGTTGCTCTGGCTTTATGCTTCATTTATGCTGAACATGCAGTCTAATGGGCAACATTTGTTTTATGTCAGCCTGATGGGCAGTTCAAATATCTATTAAATACATTAAAGGCACGTTTTGTCGACTCGTCATGACTTGGACATTTATGCAAAATCTAAAAAGGTATACTTTGTATGATGAATTATTACTTGGGTTCGCTCACACACGGATGAGCATTCTTGGAATTTCTGAAGCTCAAAAGCAGCGGGAGGGCTTATAATGAGAATTTAAATTGAAAAAGCCTAAGAAAAGAGAAATGGGATTGAAATTATTCTTTGTTGGACAGTAAATTGTCAATTAGATGTATGAAATAAAATATATTTAGACAAAGAGATTTTAAGTCAAAAAATAAGTTAAAAAATCAAACATCAAAGAAGATATTTGATTCCAATTATAGTCATTTTAGCAGTAAAAGTGTGTTACATATATATAAAGTTAGTTTGGCATTTATAGATTACGCAAAACTTGATGCTTTTAAAATTCTTTACGAGGTATCCCAATCTGCTTTTAAAAATCTCCATAAAACACTAAGAGCCCCACAAATTATAATCTTTGAAGGCATTCCAAGGTTAGCACTAGTATAAGATCTGAAGTTATTCCCAGGCAACCCACGCAAAGTGACAGAACTCATAAACCAAATATCGCAGCCGAGAATTTAGCGTTGGCGTTGCAGCTGCGAAAAACAAAAACTCCAAACTGACCAAAAACCGAATGCCTTTTGCCAGATTTTATGATTATCATATAGTAGGTGCGTGTGTATATTCCGCGTATGCCGACTTTTGAGATCACTTTATGGTTTGTTGGTCTTATAAAGTATAAAGCATTTTGGCCACCCGACGTGGGTTGATTTTTTAGTGCGAAATTGTTTCTTTTTAATGGCTCCGAGGTCCGCCAAACATTAAGGGGCATCTCTCGACAAATTTTTTTAACGAGTCATTGCAGGTGCATTAAAACTGACAAACTGAATGAGTGACTGAGTGACGGGTTGGCCGCTTGACGGCCCGACTGATGAAAGGCCTTAGAATTTCCGCCTCTGGGCTGGTTGTCTAATGCACTTTTAATGATTTTATACAAGTCAAGTTATGCACATTGCTTCGGTTTGTTTTTTTTCGTATTTTTGTAACAACTTGTTTCGGTTTTGGCTCACGCACCTGTTTCACTGTTTGCTGCTCTTTTAAAGGCAAAACAAAAGCAACTGCCGCTCAATTACAAGCGACAAAACGTTTTTTTAATGAACGCAACAAATACCCGAAGCCGGATAATTTGTCGCATTTTCCCACACACAAAAACTGCAACTGGAAAACGAGAAAAATCGAAATTCGTTTCGAATTTGGAGTGGAAATGCGCGACACGATGTTGCAAGCGACGCGTACGAACTGCAACTGCAACAGCAACTGAAGTTGGCTGCAGCTGCCGGAAAAGTAATCCCGACCAGATCTTACACTCTCTCTCTTCCGCTCTCCGTACATACACATATAGGGAGATATATCTCTCGTTCTCAACCGATCCCTCAACTCTTTCCGTGTTGCCAAACAAAACGTTCTAACGAGATCTGCATTGGGAGTATGAAATGAATTCAAATCGCGTCGCCGGTTTTTCGTTGTTGTTCGCTATCCGCGCTGCTCGCAACTGAACGCCAGGTGCGAATCCACTCGGTAACGAAGCCCAGGTAAGAAAACAACGCCGGCAGAGCACTCAAATGGGTAGGCTTCAATGGGTTAACTGGCTTAAGCGGCGTTGTTGTTGCCGGCAGGCCAGGAAGCAACACTCGTATGTTGCTGCAACATTACTTATTAGTCGCATGTTGCCAGCGCATTTGTTTAGTTTTCTTTAAAGAAAATATATCTTAGAGCTTTACTAAAAACAAAAAGTCACAAATACAAAAACAAAATCACAAATTTTAAAAATATAAGCAAGCTTAACTGATTTTTCTACATGAAGTAAATACCATTTTAAATTCAAGCCCATTGTGGTTTAATTCACTTAAGCTTATAGATTCCATAACTTTACCAAATTTTATCCGATTCCAACGTGGCATACCTCTAAAGACTTGTGTTTCGATTCTCTAAAAATCTGCATTCAAAATTTTCAATTTAACGTTGATCAAAATTTTGACCCATTTTCATGTTAGTTATTACTAAGTTTTCGATGACTTGAAAAATGGAGTCCCATAATTGGACTTCTAGATTCCATAACTTTACCAAATTTAATCCGATTCCAACGTGGCATACCTCTAAAGACTTGTGTTTCGATTCTCTAAAAATCTGCATTCAAAATTTTCAATTTAACGTTGATTAAAATTTTGACCCATTTTCATGTTAGTTATTACTAAGTTTTCGATGTCTTGAAAAATGGAGTCCCATAATTGGACTTCTAGATTCCATAACTTTACGAAATTTAATCCGATTCCAACGTGGCATACCTCTAAAGACTTGTGATTCGATTCTCTAAAAATCTGCATTCAAAATTTTCAATTTAACGTTGATTAAAATTTTGACCCATTTTCATGTTAGTTATTACTAAGTTTTCGATGTCTTGAAAAATGGAGTCCCATAATTGGACTTCTAGATTCCATAACTTTACGAAATTTAATCCGATTCCAACGTGGCATACCTTAAAGACTTGTGTTTCGATTCTCTAAAAATCTGCATTCAAAATTTTCAATTTAACGTTGATCAAAATTTTGACCCATTTTCATGTTAGTTATTTACTAAGTTTTCGATGTCTTGAAAAATGGAGTCCCATAATTGGACTTCTAGATTCCATAACTTTACCAAATTTTATCCGATTCCAAAGTGGCATACCTCTAAAGACTTGTGATTCGATTCTCTAAAAATCTGCATTCAAAATTTTCAATTTAACGTTGATCAAAATTTTGACCCATTTTCATGTTAGTTATTACGAAGTTTTCGATGACTTGAAAAATGGAGTCCCATAATTGGACTTCTAGATTCCATAACTTTACCAAATTTAATCCGATTCCAAAGTGGCATACCTCCAAAGACTTGTGAATCGATTCTCTAAAAATCTGCATTCAAAATTTTCAATATAACGTTGATCAAAATTTTGACCCATTTTCATGTTAGTTATTACTAAGTTTTCGATGACTTGAAAAATGGAGTCCCATAATTGGACTTCCAGATTCCATAACTTTACCAAATTTAATCCGATTCCAAAGTGGCATACCTCTAAAGACTTGTGAATCGATTCTCTAAAAATCTGCCTTCAAAATTTTCAATTTAACGTTGATCAAAATGTTGACCCGTTTTCATGTTAGTTATTACTAAGTTTTTGATGACTTGAAAAATGGAGTCCCATAATTGGACTTCTAGATTCCATAACTTTACCAAATTTAATCCGATTCCAACGTGGCATACCTCTAAAGACTTGTGAATCGATTCTCTAAAAATCTGCATTTAAAAATTTCAATTTAACGTTGATTAAAATTTTGACCCATTTTCATGTTTGTTATTACGAAGTTTTCGATGACTTGAAAAATGGAGTCCCATAATTGGACTTCTAGATTCCATAACTTTACCAAATTTAATCCGATTCCAAAGTGGCATACCTCCAAAGACTTGTGAATCGATTCTCTAAAAATCTGCATTCAAAATTTTCAATATAACGTTGATCAAAATTTTGACCCATTTTCATGTTAGTTATTACGAAGTTTTCGATGACTTGAAAAATGGAGTCCCATAATTGGACTTCTAGATTCCATAACTTTACCAAATTTAATCCGATTCCAAAGTGGCATACCTCCAAAGACTTGTGAATCGATTCTCTAAAAATCTGCATTCAAAATTTTCAATATAACGTTGATCAAAATTTTGACCCATTTTCATGTTAGTTATTACTAAGTTTTCGATGACTTGAAAAATGGAGTCCCATAATTGGACTTCCAGATTCCATAACTTTACCAAATTTAATCCGATTCCAAAGTGGCATACCTCTAAAGACTTGTGAATCGATTCTCTAAAAATCTGCCTTCAAAATTTTCAATTTAACGTTGATCAAAATGTTGACCCGTTTTCATGTTAGTTATTACTAAGTTTTTGATGACTTGAAAAATGGAGTCCCATAATTGGACTTCTAGATTCCATAACTTTACCAAATTTAATCCGATTCCAACGTGGCATACCTCTAAAGACTTGTGAATCGATTCTCTAAAAATCTGCATTTAAAAATTTCAATTTAACGTTGATCAAAATGTTGACCCATTTTCATGTTAGTTATTACTAAGTTTTCGATGACTTGAAAAATGGAGTCCCATAATTGGACTTCCAGATTCCATAACTTTACCAAATTTAATCCGATTCCAAAGTGGCATACCTCTAAAGACTTGTGAATCGATTCTCTAAAAATCTGCCTTCAAAATTTTCAATTTAACGTTGATCAAAATGTTGACCCGTTTTCATGTTAGTTATTACTAAGTTTTTGATGACTTGAAAAATGGAGTCCCATAATTGGACTTCTAGATTCCATAACTTTACCAAATTTAATCCGATTCCAACGTGGCATACCTCTAAAGACTTGTGAATCGATTCTCTAAAAATCTGCATTTAAAAATTTCAATTTAACGTTGATTAAAATTTTGACCCATTTTCATGTTTGTTATTACGAAGTTTTCGATGACTTGAAAAATGGAGTCCCATAATTGGACTTCTAGATTCCATAACTTTACCAAATTTAATCCGATTCCAAAGTGGCATACCTCCAAAGACTTGTGAATCGATTCTCTAAAAATCTGCATTCAAAATTTTCAATATAACGTTGATCAAAATTTTGACCCATTTTCATGTTAGTTATTACGAAGTTTTCGATGACTTGAAAAATGGAGTCCCATAATTGGACTTCTAGATTCCATAACTTTACCAAATTTAATCCGATTCCAAAGTGGCATACCTCCAAAGACTTGTGAATCGATTCTCTAAAAATCTGCATTCAAAATTTTCAATATAACGTTGATCAAAATTTTGACCCATTTTCATGTTAGTTATTACTAAGTTTTCGATGACTTGAAAAATGGAGTCCCATAATTGGACTTCCAGATTCCATAACTTTACCAAATTTAATCCGATTCCAAAGTGGCATACCTCTAAAGACTTGTGAATCGATTCTCTAAAAATCTGCCTTCAAAATTTTCAATTTAACGTTGATCAAAATGTTGACCCGTTTTCATGTTAGTTATTACTAAGTTTTTGATGACTTGAAAAATGGAGTCCCATAATTGGACTTCTAGATTCCATAACTTTACCAAATTTAATCCGATTCCAACGTGGCATACCTCTAAAGACTTGTGAATCGATTCTCTAAAAATCTGCATTTAAAAATTTCAATTTAACGTTGATCAAAATTTTGACCCATTTTCATGTTTGTTATTACGAAGTTTTCGATGACTTGAAAAATGGAGTCCCATAATTGGACTTCTAGATTCCATAACTTTACCAAATTTAATCCGATTCCAAAGTGGCATACCTCCAAAGACTTGTGAATCGATTCTCTAAAAATCTGCATTCAAAATTTTCAATATAACGTTGATCAAAATTTTGACCCATTTTCATGTTAGTTATTACTAAGTTTTCGATGACTTGAAAAATGGAATCCCATAATTGGACTTCTAGATTCCATAACTTTACCAAATTTAATCCGATTCCAAAGTGGCATACCTCTAAAGTCTTGTGAATCGATTCTCTAAAAATCTGCATTCAAAATTTTCAATATAACGTTGATCAAAATTTTGACCCATTTTCATGTTAGTTATTACTAAGTTTTCGATGACTTGAAAAATGGAATCCCATAATTGGACTTCTAGATTCCATAACTTTACCAAATTTAATCCGATTCCAAAGTGGCATTCCTCTAAAGACTTGTGATTCGATTCTCCAAAAATCTGCATTCAAAATTTTCAATTTAACGTTGATTAAAATGTTGACCCATTTTCATGTTAGTTATTACTAAGTTTTCGATGACTTGAAAAATGGAGTCCCATAATTGGACTTCTAGATTCCATAACTTTACCAAATTTAATCCGATTCCAAAGTGGCATACCTCTAAAGACTTGTGAATCGATTCTCTAAAAATCTGCCTTCAAAATTTTCAATTTAACGTTGATCAAAATGTTGACCCGTTTTCATGTTAGTTATTACTAAGTTTTTGATGACTTGAAAAATGGAGTCCCATAATTGGACTTCTAGATTCCATAACTTTACCAAATTTAATCCGATTCCAACGTGGCATACCTCTAAAGACTTGTGAATCGATTCTCTAAAAATCTGCATTTAAAAATTTCAATTTAACGTTGATCAAAATTTTGACCCATTTTCATGTTAGTTATTACTAAGTTTTCGATGACTTGAAAAATGGAGTCCCATAATTGCACTTCTAGATTCCATAACTTTACCAAATTTAATCCGATTCCAAAGTGGCATACCTCTAAAGACTTGTGATTCGATTCCCTAAAAATCTGCATTCAAATTTTTCTTTAGAACTTTTGACCTATTTTCATGTTAGTTATTTATAATTTTCCGATGAGTTGTAAAATAGTGACGCAAAATTCGACTTCTAAAGTCCATAACTTTACCAAATTTAATCCGATTTTAAAGTGACGTAC